CGGTTCGGAGCAAGAAATCGAAGCCATGGTGGGGGGCCGGCCGCCGACGTCCCACACGGGAAGGGAGACGTCGGGAGGGTGGCTAAGACCTGCGATGGGCGCTCACCGCCTCCGTCTGGGAGTCAGGCCGCAGTTCCGATAGAGCAGTGCAGCCCTTCCCATTCCAGCCTGGGTACCCCGGGGAGTGATGAAGGCCTGTGGCATGTGGAGGTCCCAGGCCTTGTGGACAGCGCTGGGCACGGATTGACCTTTCCAGTGCAGAAGTGCCAAACCAGGCCATGTCATGATGGGCAAGCATCCGTCGTCCGCCCAAGGGACCATCCCATCAGCACTCCCCCCCCGCAAATCCATCAGGCCTTCAATGTCGGGAGGCAGGGCTGCAAGCTCCCGTTCCAGCCCTGGAGTCTGGGCGTCAGCGGCAGGGCTCGGGGTGACACTCACCGGAACCTTGGCACAGACCAGCTGAGGCTTGCGCACCCCCGGATGGGCACTGAGAGCCCCATGAGTCTTCGAGACCCAGCACCATTCAGGGGAACAGCATCTCGCAGGTCCTCCAGGTCTCAGAGCTCCAGCCGCGGGACTTCCTGCGGTTCCAGGTTCTGCTCTGAGTCCCGGCGCTGAGTGAGCGATGGGAGGCGTTGATCGCTGGTTTCCCATTGCTGATCCATCCATCTCCAATGGTCCCCGAAGGCCTTGGCAGAGACTTGTGCCGTTCACATAGATCCGGAGCCAGGTCACCAGGCCGTGAGCACGCAGCCTTGGAAGTCAACATTGAGATCTCTGCCTCCAGGACAGATACCAATTCCGACAGCGCTGCCCCCGCCTTTGGCACCTCCCCACCCCATCTGGAAGATGATAATGTGATAGGTAACAGCCAGCGTGGATTTGTAAAGAACAAGTCATGTCAAACCAACCTGCTCATGTTCTGTGGATAAGGGGGAAGTGGTGGACGTGGTATACCTAGAGTTTAGTAAGGTGTTTGATACTGTCTCACATGACCTTCATATCAATAAACTATGGAAATACATCCTAGTTGGGGCTACTATAAGGTGGGTGCGTAACTGACTGGAGAACTGTTCTCAGAGTTATTAACAGTTCACAATCCTGCCAGAAGGCATAACAAGTGGGGTTCCGCAGGGATCAGTTCTGGGACCAGTTCAGTGCAATATCTTCATCACGGTTCCGCAGGGATCAGTTCTGGGACCGGTTCAGTGCAATATCTTCATCAATGTTTTAGATAATGGCATAAAGAGTACGCTTAAGAAGTTTGCAGATGATACCAAGCTGGGAGGATGGGATCACAATTTAAAATGATCTGGACAAACTGGAGAAATGGTCGGAGGTAAATAGGATGATGTTCAATGAGGACAAAGGCAAAGTGCTCCACTTATAAGGCTATGTCTACACAACAGAGCTATTTCGGGATACCTCCAATGTCCCAGAATAGCTATTCCATGTCTTAAGAGCAAGCACATTACATCAAAATATAATGGGCTCCCTATTCTGACATCCCTGTAAACCTCATTGCACGAGGGGTAAGGAATGTTTCGGAATAGCGCCTTATTTCAAAATTTGATGCTGTGTAGACAGCGCCTAATTTAGAAATAAGCTATTTCAAAATAAGATTAAAATAAGCTACACACTTTGTATAGTACCGATTGTGTAGCTTATTTCGAAGTAAGGGTAATGTATAGACACACTCTTAGGGTATGTCTACACTACCCTCCTAGTTTGAACTAGGAGGGTAATGTAGGCATACCGCACTTGCAAATGAAGCCCGGGATTTGAATTTCCCGGGCTTCATTTGCATAAGCGGGGCGCCGCCATTTTTAAAACCCCGCTCGTTCGAACCCCGTGCAGCGCGGCTACACGGGGCACGAACTAGGTAGTTCGAACTAGGCTTCCTAGTTCGAACTACCGTTACTCCTCATTCCACGAGTCTCCTGCCCATCAACAGCCCCTTCTTGGCCAATCAGGGGAGAATCTAAGGTGTGGCACGGGGTTCAAACCAGCGGGGTTTTAAAAATGGCGGCGCCCCGCTTATGCAAATGAAGCCCGGGAAATTCAAATCCCGGGCTTCATTTGCAAGTGCGGTATGCCTACATTACCCCGCTAGTTCGAACTAGCGGGGTAGTGTAGACTTACCCTTAGGAAGGAACAATCTATTTCACACATACAGAATGGGAAGCAACTGTCTAGGAAGGAGTACGGCAAAAAGGGATCTAGGGGTTACAGTTGACCACAAGCTAAATATGAGTCAACAGGGTGACGCTGTTGCAAAAAAAGCAAACATGATTCTGGGATGCATTAACAGGAGTATTGTGAGCAAGACACGACTCATTCTTCTGCTCTACTCTACACTGACTAGGCCTCAGTTGGAGTATTGTGTCCAGTTCTGGGCACCACATTTCAGGAAAGATTAGGTCCAGAGAAGAACAACAAAAATGTTCAAAGGTCTAGAAGACATGACCTATGAGGGAAGGCTGAAGGAACTGGACTTGTTTAGTTTGGAAAGGAGAAGACTGCGATAGCAATTTTCAAATATCTAAGAGGGTGTTACAAGGAGAAGGGAGAAAAATTGTTCTCTTTAGCCTCCGAGAATAGGACAAGAAGCAATGGGCTGAAATTGCAGCAAGGGAGATTTAGGTTGGACATTAGGAAAAAGTTCCTAACTGTCAGGGTGGAATAAATTGCCTGGGGGGGTTGTGGAATCCCCATCTCTGGAGCTATTTAAGAGCGAGTTAGACAGACACCCGTCAGGGATGATCTAGACGGTGCTTGGTCCTGCCGTGAGGGCAGGGGACTGGACTCGGTGACCTCTCGAGGTCCCTTCCAGTCCCAGTGTTCTATGATTCTATAGTGGCTGGTGCTTTGGTACAGCTGGAACCCAACCTTCCCAGGCTGCCGGGTCAGTTCTGGGGGCCTGCTATCCCAACCCTCCCCACGGGTGCAAGCTCCTGTGGAGGAAACTGCCCCCCCAGACTCCGGAGGCTCTAGCGAGCCAGCTGCTTGCCCCACAGGAAGAGGGGGCGGAACCGCAGCACTGGCATCGTCCCCGTCATCACCGGACGAGGCCATCGGGAGTCCCCTCACTCCGTGCCACGAGTTGACATGAAGGTGCACCAGGAGCTCTGGAAAATTGTCATCTCCCTGGGACACTACACAGAGGAGCTCGAGGAGCCGGCGGACGCCCGTCTGATGCGCTGAGCCCTCGGTGCCTGCCAGGGTGGCTTTGCCCTGGCGGGAAGGGGGTTTAGAAAATCACCCAGCCCCTAACTCCTGAGTGATGGAGGCAGGTCAGCCAGAGCGGGAGGCCGGGTAACCGGGGGCGACAGCAAAGAACAAAGACTCCAAGAGCCTGGATTTGTTCGTGCAGAAGATCGATTCATCCTCCAGCCTGCAGCTGAGGCGGCGAATCACCGAGGCCTCCTTGGCCGCTGCCATTTTAATATGGGGCGGACCGGGGCCAGATTGGAGGATTCACTTCTGATGGTTGCAGGCAGGAGCTCGGGCAGCTCCGCAGTGCGCACAATGGCCTCTGCCGTATCTGTGCACTGGGCCTCCTGGCTGCCCCTCTCCGGCCTGTCAGCGGAGGCCCGGCAATCTGGGCAGGACCTTCCCTTCGGCGGCCACGCCGTGTGCGGAGTAAATGGACGCAAAAGTGCCTGGACTGGAGGATTCCTGCGCCACCCTGAAGCCTGGGGTCGTGAGTTTCCAGCCCCGCCTGGGAAAGATTCCAGCCGCTACCCCCTGTGGGTCGAGGGAGCCAGCCACGTCGGGAGCCGCCCCCCTAGGCCGGGGTACAAGCGCTGACTAAGCCAGCTGCCCAGCCCACCAGTTGGGCTTGACCCGCTCCAAACCAGGAGCTAAAGAATCGCTCTGAGGGTTGTGCCTGAAGGGGACAGGACAGACTTTCCCCCAGATCCGGTCTCCCCTGTCTGGAAGCCTCCTCCCGGCTTGGCCCACCATTACATCAGGCCACTGGGTCTTGAACATGATATTGCAGGGTCGTGCCTTCCGATTCCTTTCCCCCGTATTCCTGTCCTCGTCAGGGCCTCTTCTCATGGGAGGCTTGGGGCTGCTGTGGCTGGGGGTGGAGGAGGACATTCCACCCATGGGCCGGAACAGGTTCTAGTCCAACCTTTCCTAGACCCAACGGCCAAGAGGGATCTGCATTGCAGCCTGGACCCGCGAGACCTTAACAGGCACCTGCAGAAGCTCAGATTCTTCATGGCCTCCCTAGCCTCTGTTATTCCCTCCCCGGAAGGATGCATATTTCCACAGGCCGATCTTCCCAGGCCACAAATGCGTCCTTCGTTTTACAGTGGGGCCAGCCTGCTGCCCGGCTGAGGTGCTCCCATTTGGCCTGGCAATGCACCCAGGGTGTTTACCAAGTGCACGGCGGTGCTAGCGGCCTCCCTCGGGCACTGAGCTGTCCAGATCTACCCGTACCTCGGCAGCTCCGAAGCACAAGTCCAGTGCGGCGGTGTGATCCCGCCAGCCATGTGCCGCACCCCAGGACTCCTGCTCCACCACA